AACACACATCGTTGTAAAATCATTACATTTTTTTTAAGCATTTTTTTCTATAAATATTATAGCTAAGTTGTTGTTTTTTGGGGGGGACAGAGGGCTTCGAAGATTTTTTTCATTTTCAACTTTGAAAATTGAATTTTAATCATATTAACTCGTTTTAAATGCAATACATTTATTTGACGACTGCGGACTGATGTCAATTAATATAAGTAGGTATAGCCGTAGGTATAGGTAGTAAAAATTACAGAAATTGAAGATATGAAAATATATGAATAATAATTTTTTTTTCTCATTAACTTTCTTTTTTATATGGTATCTAAAAAGCGGGGCCTGTCAAACTGGTGACGGCGCGGGGCCCAGGGCGAGGGCCCCGCTCGCCCTGCCCTAGGGACGGCCCTGATATTACCTAGTATATTTCTTAATATAAATGTGAATAAAGTAATTTATAAATAACCTATTTACTTGGAACCTTGTTTTAAGTTTTAAATCCTTAGCTATAAAAGCTGAACATTTTATACATTTTTAACTATAAGATAATTATTAAATTTTAAATTCGATAAATTTTGTTAAAATTTAAACTTTTTATTACTGTCATGTAGGCATTATTATAAACTATAATACTATGTAGATGCTCATTAGACAGAACTATTTAGTTTATAAAAAAACTATATTATAAATTTATACAATTGTACTTATTGTAATTAGGTAAACGGGTAAATGGACATTCCCCCTCCCCCGATATTTTTTTAAAGTTTATTATTGAATTTAATAATACAATATTATTTAATATGAAATTATTTTTCTTAAATAAAATATAAAATATATAAACATTTTTTAGATTCTGAGTGGAGCTTATTTTAAAAAAAATAAGTACTTACTTATAAAATAAAATATAATTAATAATAAAGAAAAATGGTCAAAAATTCACCCTCGTGAACTTAGCAGCGCAATGATAACAGTCAACTTTTAAAACAGTCAAATTTGTTAGAGAGTTGTTAGAGATTGTTAGACAACTTTCAAAGTATGTTAGACTAAATTTTTGACGCTAGACCACTTTCATTTATTTGTCAACACTTCCGACATAAAAATGATACATTTTGTAAAAAACATTTGATTACTGATTCATTTGTTATTTATAAACACATGCTTTTTTTTTTTGTTAAAATTTATCAGGTTGGATATTTAACAATTTAATAATTGCTTTTGAATTTGATTCAAGTAGTTCAGTTGATTAAAAATATACATCTATAATTTATTATATTTATGAAAACATTTGAAAATATTAGACAATAGGCAAAAAAATAATTTCATATTAATAATAAAATAATATTATTAAATAGTAAATTTAAAAAAAAAATGTGGGAAAATGTCCGCGATTCAGGTAAACTTGAACCTATTTCCTAACTAAATTTATATTATGAATTACCTACCTATTATATAAGTATCTTTAGTATCTATATATATTTTATAAAAGCACACAGTGCCACAGTGGAGTATAGATAGGCTCGTCGTTAAATATTTTCTGCACTACAACGAAAATTTTAATTCCTCTCTTCTTTATGGATATTTATAGTATTTAAAATGGTATGCCACCGCCCACCTTAAAGCAAGGCATGACTTGCTTGTGCCCTAGAGACGGACCTGAGTAGGTATAAGAACTTCAGCCGTCGGTGTACACAGACACACAGTAAAAAATTACATACTTGTACGTATGTACTGTGTAAAAATGATGATGAAAAACAGCTAAAAAAAATTGCAAAAATTCACATAAAAAAACATTTACGCTGACGGTCGAAGTCGAACAAACAGTTTCCGTGTTGGGGCCGTGAGTCGTGAGTCGTGACGGCGTATTCCGATTACCACCGAATACCGATCGACGACGATGGAGGAGGATCCGTACGGTGTATAGGTTAGGTACGTTGCAACTTACTGGTCGTTCCATACCAAAAAACGAAAACGTTCCGTCTGAACCGGTCCGTCGATTGTGCAACGGTCGAACGTCCGAAAACCACCGAGACGGCTATCATCATTACGAGTATCGCGATATCGTGCGTGCGTACACATATTATTATCGCAATACCATTAACTATTATGTATATGTAGATTTGTTATTATTATTTTTTTCTCTGGTTATTGTTTTCTCGTTGATTATTAATTATCGTTGAATCGTTTTCGGGTCCCGCCCTGTGATTGAGCGCGCGCCACTGTCGAGTGTCGACGCGACAACGCAACACGAACCGCCGCCGCAGCAGCAGGTGCGAAGGATTTGGAGTTTCGACACAACAACACATTACTATTATTACTATCATCATCATCAGCAGCAGCAGTGCGACCTGCCTACATACGTTACTCCTTATTTAGAACTGGCCATTTGAAGGCCTAAAGTTTCATTCTATTTTTTTACTCCGTTTGTTTACAATAAATTCTACTTTGAGCATTGTGAAGTCACCATTGTCATTTATCTCACAGTGGACTTCTGGTACCCCAACCGTCATCAACTTATTATCATTGTTGTCGCTGCCTCAAACAATAACACTGAATATCCCACGTAAGTACCTACTATATACTTTTAATTCTAGCTGTTGAACTGCTTATTATTAGGTGTTTATTTTTCCTATTTATATTACCTATATTAGTAGTACAAGTAAGCTAAACATTTAAATTATATATATATATATATATATAGGTATCTAACAGTAAAGCCTTATAGTTTGAATAGTTACTCGTTGTATAAGTTGATAAGAAAGAATAAATTATTTAGTTCAAGCCCCAATTAGGTAGGTAGGTAGATATGAAATTTTTTCCTTGAACTTTTGATGTTTTCAATGCTAATTAGTAATTCATTACTAAGCTAGAAAACACTGCACAATTGTTTATCTTGATCATAACTAATAAGTTATGAAGACTGAAACTTATGAACTATAAATTGTATTATTACATTGACATTAAATAAATTTGATTATTTTTAATATTTACATTATAATTTTAAGTAGGTACATACCTACGTACTACCTAGTTCCGTGTTACCACATCACTAGGAAGTTGACAAAAAATGATAGAAGACATAATATTTAAATGAGAATTTTTATCAAATATTTATATAAAAAAAAAAAAATGCTTAAAAAGTAACTACCTACAATTGAATAAAGATAGGTACTTGTCATTTGATGTGCCTATTGTCTAGTTACTACTTACTATGTATGGATACAGGATATATAAACTTTATTTTTCTTTAGAAATCATGAAGTCATTAAATATACCAATTAAAAATTTTGCTATTTTATAATATAGGTGTACTGTGTACCTATATGGCTTTATAGCGTACAGAAGTACCAAGAAGTAGCTATTCATAGGCATAAATAGGGCTAAAGGGTTCAGCCCCCCCAAAAATGTCAGTAGTCCTCCCCAATATATCCTAACCCCCCCCCCCCCCCCAAATAGCAAGTTCTATTTGCATCTAAGAGTAGCATTGATTTTAAATATTTAATTATTCATTGTTGATAGGTAATAGGTTCACTTAAATACCTATATCCTATAGGTACTATTATATAGTTTCTCAATTTAAGTTAATGACGTATTTATTTAATTAGGTACCTAAACCTATTAAAGTAGGTACCTATTATCAGTGGTGCCCAAGATATATTTTTCAGGTGTAGCAAAAAAACATTTTGCCCACCCACCCACCCCCTCACAAACTCAAAATTATATTATTTTATACATATTATCATATTTGTATTGATAATATTAGTAAATATTAAGGTATCAACCAATATAATCTGTGATTAATTATGAATATATTTCAAGTTTATTATTTTATGTTATTATACCCACCCACCCCTTATTTTCAAGGTGTAGCTACCGCTACACCTAGTAATAGGGTTGGGCGCCACTGCCAGTTATATTTTATAAAAGTAGCATAAAAATGGGTATGATGCATATGTTTTTAAAATTATTGAATTATGATTATAATAGTAATTTAGGTATGTACTTTTTAATTACTTTATCGGTATCCGTATTAAATTAGATAGGTACTTATATGGTTTATATTTATATTTTCTTTTTATATCATAATTAAAATATCCTAGCAAATGGTTGAAATATACGTACATCAATATATATTTATTATATAAGTATTAAAAACAAATGGTTTTATAATAATTATTAAAACTAGAACGTTTTGGGAGTTGTATATCTTTTTATAAGCTCGGTTTATCCCAGACCAAGTTAAAATAAACCCATTTTATACATTAAAAAGATTTAAGATGCATAATTTTGTAAATTTTAGGAAAAAAAGATGCACATTTCTTTATTTTTGTGAATTTGTATACATGTTTAATATGTTCTTTAACTACCTTATAAATTCTATACTTAATAATAATAACTTATGTATTTTGTACTCAATTATTTAATAAAAGCATTTTATTTTCCTTAAGATTTGTGTAAAGTAGCAAAAACAAATCTTTTTGATACAGTAATTTTTTGTTATGGCTGGTATACATCTCAAAAATGTACTATTATTTTAGTCCAATTAGTTGTTATTAATATTAAAGATACTAATTTTTAATAAAATTTTATAACATATTGTAATGTACTAGTATAATACTCTTATATACTTAACTATTAGTTAAAAAGTTATAACTTTTTGAATGATATTTTTTGTTGCATATTATTTAAGATGTTTTATGTGCATATTTTATCGATTTTAACTTCTTTAACTTCCGAGCATTTATAATTATAAAACACATATTGTATATTTATAAATTGAAGAACAAAATATTTTTAAATATTATGATTTATAATTTAAAAACATTTTTATATTTAAGTCAACGTTTTACTTGGGTCAACATTATTTAATATTTTACTATGTTTATTAGATTAATTGTTTTTGTTTATTTCAGATTATGATATACTACATTGGAATGCATAATTTATTCTTAAAAGTTAAAGTAATAAATAAAAATTATCATAACATTATATCAAGTTGATAATGAGCTTTTGACACAATGGATAACTTATCACCTTTGAATCAACCTAGCAAGCTAATACGACCACCAACATTGAAACGAGGCCGATCTGGTGATTCACAAGGTGGCAAAGTAAGACATACAATTTTCAAATGATTATTGCTGTATAAGACTATTATTTTAACAGTTATCACATTAAGTATCTCAACATTATTAACATATTTCAAACTAGTAGTGAATTAGTTATAATTTATTAATATTTAAAGTTTAAATCAGTAGTGTACCAACATTTGAATTGATATTAATGTAACTCCTCTCGACTAAACTTTAAAAACTTATAACTAATTACCTACATCTTCAAAATTTACTTTTTACCAAAAAATATGCTTTAAAATATGGAATTTAAAATTTAGGTTATTATTCAAAAGAGTAAAACTTGAAAAATGTGTTGGTTTCAAATAGGAAAAATACACATTTTTTCAATTATTTTGTCTCTGCAATAAATTCAAATAATGTAAAAAAAATATATTCAATAATGTTTATACTTCTAGATAATGAGTGTTTGCTGTTAAAAAGCAGCCAGTATACTATGAAAAGTGTTTAATAATGACAATTAATAACTATTAAATATACTTAATATTAATTTGTAGATCAAACTTGAAAGGGTTATCGGTTTGACAGTGTCAACAAATTCATCATTAGATGTCGATAATAATACTGGAACCATTGCTTATCCAGCAGGGTAAGTAACGATTATTATTTTTGTTATAAGTATTTAATATTTATTAATTATCAAAACTTTTAAAAGTAATAACAATGTTTATAAAACTGTTGATTATATTTAAAATTTTAAAAACTATTAGTTTTATTATATAGCCATTAGCCATGTTAAATACTTTTTTAGTATAGTAAATACTAGAGATGTTCTGAGTAGAAAATCTGGTATTAAACCGGGTACTGGCCGAGTAAAATTTATAGTACTAACCGGGTATCGAGTATTAGCCAAATAAAATTTTAATACTAACCGGGTGTCGAGTAAAAATGTTAACACTTACCGGGTATCGAGTATATGCCGAGTATAATTGTAAATACAAAATTGGTATTATACTGCTATCAAAGTATCAATATCAACTATATAAACTTTAGACAGTAAACACGAGATTTTGGCTATTGTATTAGACTGGCTGTTGTAATTCGGTTCAGTTATTCCAATTAGTACCATAATAAATTATAATTTATTACCCTAGAATTTTAAATTTTTCCCGTTATATTAATTATAGGTATGCATATATTTTTAAATAGATTATCAGCGTTTGCCATTTGATATGAGTCGAGTAAAATGTAGTATTTCGCCGAGTAAGGGCTAGGTAAAAATGAAGGTATTACGCCGGGTACCGATTAAGAGCTGAGTCTTAAATATGATAACGAGTACCGCAATCGAGTAATTGCCGGGTACCAGGAACATCTGTAGTAAATACTATAGCACCAACTCGTCTTTTAGATAAATATAACTATAGGCGCAACTAGGGGGATCTTGGGTAGGCTTAGCCACCCAGTTTTTCAACGTAATGTAATTCCCAAATTAAGTCTAAATAAAAGTTTTATCAGAAAATTTATTAGTGCTTAAATATTTTTCGTAAATTTTAACTTTTAACAAAAAATATTTAAGTTTAAGTATTTTTTTTTTTAATGAACAATATTTATTATAAAACTTGTCTCAGTAATTATATTTTTTTCATTAATTCCAGTTTATACAAAATACTTTTCTGGTTGTGTATTTTTATTTTAATATATTTTTTAATGTAATACTTTTCTGATAATTTACATTTAAAATTTAATATTATCTCATTTAAAAATATTCCATCACAATAATTGTATTACTTTATATTTTCTAAACAAACATTTTTGGAACAAAATTATTTTCTGACATATTCTTTTCTATTTTTTTTTTTTAACTATAGATTTATACTTTCTTTACCTATATGTTCTAACTTTGTACATTTTAAATTTGTAAGACGAAGACAACACATACAGGGTAGTGTCCTCTAAGCTTGTATGCGTTTGTCTGTTCGATTCTGTGTTTCTGTATTAGGTAGGTATACCATATACTGGCAGCAATATGCATCCCTCCCCGCCCACGACTCAAAACCTGAAAAAAAAGGTATACCATAATATGGCACATGGGATAAACAAAATTATTCATATTTCATTTTAAACATTGCCGAAAGAAAAACAAACAGTTGCAGGCCGTTTGAAACATTTTATATCGGAATTTGGTACACATTTTTTTCAACTGACAACCAAGTGTTAATCTGTAAATATTTTTTACTATGCATATTTTGAGTGCATAAAATTGAAAATGTTAGTGCATATAAATGCATATTTCTGAATTTCTTAGTGCATATTTTTCCAATATTTAGTGCGCGAATGCACGCTAATTTATGCATTTTTTAGTGCATGAACTTACTAGCCCTGGATCTATGTAGGTACAAGGTAAAACGATAATTTAGATAAAATTATACTTCTGCATATGTGCAACTATGGAGGGGGCCTCAGGGTCCCCCTCAGTCTTTAGTCATATTTTAGTTAAAAATATTAATTATTAGGGTTTGTGCTGAACTGAGCTCAGTAATGAATTTAAAGTATAATAAAAAGTAACCATAATCCTTTGACCAAAGACAAATTATAATTAATACGAATAAATATTAAAATTGTAAGTTCAAAAAGGGGGAAATTTAATAACTGCTCTAATTAGTGTTACTCTTGGCTAATACAGCAGGTTGAATTGATTTTTGTCAAAAACAATGCATTTTAAAATATCATTGTGTGTATAAAATATAATAATATACTTTAAAAGTATCAATTAGTGTTTACTAATAATATTTTTAAATTAGATAAAATAACTAATATTTTATTATTCATTTAAATATCTAATTTTGTTCAATTTGAACTTAAAATGACTATAAAACTCCGATGTTTATATATTTTTAGATTTTATGTTCGAGTATGAATTACTTATGAATTATGAGGAACTTTGTATACATTTTCATTCTTTAACTATAAAAATAAACATTTTATACATTTTAAACTTGAAAATAATTAGCAAATTTTTGTGATTTTGTCTAAATTTAAATTTCAAATGCTTATAAAAAATATTGTGAATCTTTAATATTTTTAAATAACTATAATATAATTTTGTGAGGAAACTTGAATTCAATTTTCAAGTTTTTTGACTCATCCAAAATATTTTTATCAACATTTATACAAAAAAATGTCAAATCTCTATAAATAATTAAAAAAATAATCAAATTATTTAGATAATTATATTATGTGTTGGAAATGATTATTTACGATTTCAAGGTGTACGGTTATTTATTTTTGAATTACTATTGTATAAAAAACCTTATTTTACACATATACACTAAACAGTTAACATTTCAAACTACAGACACTCATAAAAAATTATTATTATTACTCTCTACTATAGTATTGTTTTAATTCCAACAAAAAAAATTTTTAAGGAACCTTGTATTAATTTTTCTAACCTTAGGTACAAATATAAAAACTTATGAAGTTTTAAATACTACATGATTCTCAAATTGTTGTGATTTTTACAAATTTCTAACTCAACTTAAAATTCATAAAATAATATTGTGACCATGTATTTTTGAAATTTTTAATTTTGTATATCGTATTTGAACAACTTATGATGAACCTTGTATTAAATTTTCATTTGGTTTTTGGCCCAGCGAAATTCGTATTAAGTTTAAACAAAATGTATAAAACAAAACTAAAAAAAACTCGTGGGTGATGGACGCTCTGCTGTACAGTAGGTTACAAATGGGTCACTGTAATGAATGGTTTTAAATTTGAGTTCAATGATATGATATCATTGTATATAAAAAAAACGGTTCTGAGCAGGGAAAATTTTTCAGCCTAGGGTATTTTATATTATTATATTTAGTAGAAACTCTAATAACCATCTCTGTCAAGACCGAAACTATGACGGTTTACTGAAAATCAGTTATAAACGTATATATTTTACAATGTGTGTATATATTTTCATTCTTTTGTTTCTTCGGAACTTGAGCTCTTTGAAAGGAAATTTTTTGTAATTTATGGAGAAGTAACTAAGTAAGGTCTGTGTTCAGGGCCGGGTTGGCACAGCGAGTAACCGAGTAAAACTCAGTGGACCCAGAAAATGTTGGGCTGTTCAAGTCATGAGGGGTCACCAGTGGCGTTTTTACGGGGGTGATCAAATTTTGCATATTGTATATGCAAAATTTATCGAAGTCCTAACTTAAGGCCTTTAGCTTTAAAAGTGGGGCTACTGGATAAAGTCATATCCCCCTCCACCATGACAAAAACCTAAATACACCACTGGGGGCCGCTGACTGAAAATAAGTTAAGAGTTAAAAGTTGAAAAAAAACTATGCAAGGAATAAGAACGTACCCACGAGCCGCCAGTTTGTAAGTGGGCTGGTAAAGTATGGAAAACTAAAAGGGCCGAATTTGTCCAATTTGGCTCTGCCTGCGTTGAATAGGTATAATATGCTGTTTTTTTGGAGGATGACGGATAGCAGAGAGTGACCGTTAATCGAGTTTCTACTGTATATTGTTCTTATAAATATGAGAGCAGGTATGTTGAATTAATATTAGTTGCCTATGCCCTATTATCATATTTGTAAATAATAATATACTTTAGAAGTTTCATATACCCACATATTATATTTTTCAATTCCAAGAAAATAACTAAAATTGTTATTCTAGGTTGTTTAATATGTAATTAAATTAATCAAAATATTTTGAAAATATTATCAAGTAGAGAATATGATAAAATATGATATAAATTTAAAGTATCTACAGTTACTCGTTTTTGAATTACAACAAAATAGTAAAATAAAATTGCTCCATGAGAAATCGAGTGAATATTCAATATTTAAAAATTTGAACTTAAAAATCTCATAAAAATTTAATTTGACTTTCTGGTAGTGATTTTTTTTTGTATAAAGGTAGATGAGGAATCATTCATTCAATTTTAAAATCTTGGATATTGAAAGAAAAATTTTTATGAATTTTTAACTCAAAATAATTTGAATATTTTCATTATGTGTATGAATTTTGTCAAAATTAAAAGTAATGTGGACTTTTTTTTAAAGTTCCACTAACAACAACTTACGAGGAACCTTGTTCCTTGTAACCTTTTCAAGTTTTTTCACCTAGTGAATGCATCAACTAGATTCACTTTCCCACCAGTAAAGATATAGAAGTTTAAAACCGCAGCATTATTTTGACGACTGGTCGTGTACACAGACTTAAACAGACACAAATAAAAATTTTTTTTTACACATTGTAAAATCAATACATTAATTACTCCTCTCAGAATCTAAAATTCATACATTTCAAATGTCTATCTATACATAGCTTGAAAACAATCAATATATTTTGAAAATTGTACCATGTATAGAAAGTGCTAATATGCATATTATGGTTAAAATTGCAGGTAGGTATCGAAAGTTATTCGTTTTTGAGTAATACCAAAAAACACATTGTATATATTAAAATCAATATATTTATAGCTCTGTTCAGAATTTAAAATATTTTATGCCACTAAATTTCTACTAAGCAATCTATTATAATTCAATTATTTTATTTTTATGGTAAAGTTTAAATCAGATTTTACTCTTATTAGATGTAGGTTTAACATTCAACTTTTATTTATATAATTTAAAATGTATGTATTGTACTTCTGTTGCATTAAATTATACATTTATATTTATTACTTTTGCATATGTAACTATTTTTAGATGTACTGTGGTATTCCACAATCCAGTTTTGGGTTCCGAAACACATTTGTCTAACATTTGTAGAAAGTCAATAACATGTTTAACATTTTCATCTGATGGAAGATATCTTGGTACTGGAGAATGTGGTCATCAGTCGAATGTTAGGGTTTGGGATATGGCAGATTTTACCCAAATAGCTGAATTTCCAGGCCATAAATATGGAATAAATTGTGTGGTAAGTTTTAAATTTGATTAAGAACCACTATTGTATAAAATTAGGGTTATTACAATTTTTTAAATAATTTTTCATTTGTAGGCTTTTTCTCCCAATCAAAAATATTTAGTTTCTGTAGGATCACAACATGATATGATTGTGAATGTTTGGGAATGGAAATTAAATCTAAAGTATGCATCTAACAAAGTGTCTGCTAAAATTAAAGCTATTGCCTTCTCAGATAATGGTAACTTTATAACAATTGGTAATAGACATGTCAAATTTTGGTACTTGCAGTCTTCTAGATCAGTTACAGTAAGTTAAAGGTTTATAATTTGGTTATAAATTAAAATGTTGTCATTATTTCTTATGATTTTAGTACAAAGAACCAGTACCACTAATGGGCCGGTCAGCTATTTTGGGAGAGCAACGGAATAATGATTTTATTGATGTTTGTTGCGGACATGGTGAACTAAAAGATTACACCTATGCAATAACAAAATCTGGATTACTGTGTGAATTTAATAACCGTAGATTGTTAGATAGATGGGTTGAATTAAAAGTAATTATAAATTATGTTAATATACTTAAACAGTCCTTATTTAATTTAATTATTTTTAGACTACTAGTGCCAACTGTATGGCCATTGGTAATCAGTTCATTTTTGTTGGATGCGCTGAAGGTATTGTAAGGTGTTTCAATCCAGGAACTCTACAATTTGTAACTACCTTACCTCGAACTCATTATTTAGGCGTTGATGTAGCTCAAGGACATGATATAAGGTAATAATCTTTACAAATTAATTTTGTTTCTTACTTTAAAATAATCTTATTTATTTAGTCATATGGCCAATATTCCACCAAATGCTAAGTATCCTGATGCAATAGCACTTGCTTATGATGAAACTAATATGAAGGTCACCTGTGTCTACAATGATCATAGTTTATATGTATGGGATGTTAAAGATATTAAAAGGGTTAGTGTACTATCATATTTGTTCTTTTTTATATCTAATCCAAAATGTTTTCAATCAGGTGGGAAAATCTAATTCTTTTCTATTTCATTCGGCGTGTATTTGGGGAGTAGAGATGTATCCTGCACTAGAGCATGATTTACAAATTCCAAAAAATTCATTTATAACTTGCTCAAGTGATGATACCATTAGAGTTTGGAACCTAGACAGAATAGAATGTGATAGAAAATCTCTTTATCAAAAGAATATCTACAGTAATGTAAGCATGAATAAGAAATTTAACTTTAATGATATAACTAAAATTGTAAATTTTCAACTTTATAGGAACTTCTTAAAATAATTTACATTGATCCAGAGCTAAATTTTATCAAGAATACAGAATTAAATTTAGTTGATAAAAATGATTCATCATCATATGATGGACGAAATGGTGTTCGAGCAATAAGAATTAGTCCTGATGGTGTACATCTTGCATCTGGTGATCGTTCTGGGAACATAAGGTAATATCACCAAAGTTGAACTTCAATTCACTTTATTATTAACTTTTAATTTTGTCTACCTCAATCATTATTTGTTTCTAATATTAGGTTCATAGGGATGCTGCCAAAGGGGCACTCTCCTGTTTTAAATCACATTTTATTATTACTTATTGTATTATAATATTCATAAAGTTATGTACAAATTGTAAATTTACTGTTTTTATTAATGAAAATTTTTTTATAATAATGTGAAAACAAAATTTTAAATTAAAATCTTTGTATAATGTGATATAAATAATTCTTAAACGTGTGACATGAGCTTTAATTTTTGTAAATTTAATAGGGTTCACGATTTGAAGACTTTACGCCAGGTTTGTTTAATTGAGGCCCATGATGCTGAAGTGTTGTACTTAGATTATACCAAGTACAGTGACAAGATCAAGTTATTTGCTTCAGCTTCAAGAGATAGATTGATACATGTATTTAATGTTAATAAAGTTAGTAACTAATAATAGTGTTTAGTAACTTTTATTAAAACAATGAATAAACTTTATTAATAAAAACAATGTATGTTTTTGCAGGGATACGATTTTACACAAACATTAGATGATCATTCTTCATCAATAACTGCTGTTCGGTTTATAAACTCTCACAATAAACTTCAAATGGTTTCTTGTGGAGCCGACAAATCAATTATATTTAGAAATTTCAATGAGGTTAATTAAACATGAAATTGATTATTGTGCATATTACCCTGTTTTAAGAATTTTAATATGAATGTATTATTCGCTTATTCCAGTCAGGTGATAAGAACCAAGGTAGTTTTGTACATGATCATTATGTGTCAGGAAAAACCACATTTTATGATATGGAAGTGGACCCTAAACAGAAACATATTATGACTGCATGTCAAGATCGAAATATTAGAGTATACAATACAACATCTGGAAAACACACAAAAACATTTAAAGGTTCTGTAGGGGATGAAGGCTCACTTATCAAAGTAATCATTGTATTTTTGTTACTTAAACTCAAATTATGTATTATTTAAAATTTGTATTGAGCAGGTAGTATTAGATAGAAGTGGATCATTTATTGCTACTAGTTGCACCGACAAAACTCTATGTGTATATGATTTTGTTGCCGGAGAATGTTTGGCTACTATGTATGGTCATTCAGAGCTAGTTACTGGATTAAGGTTTACTAATGATAGTAAACATTTAATATCAGCTAGTGGTGATGGTTGCATATTTGTATGGCGAATGCCATCCGACATGGTCAAACATGCTAATTCCAATAAAAAACAAATATCTAGAATTGAAAGGTAAATTATGTTAAATTATGTATTTATGTGGGATGTATTGTAAATACAATTTAAAATTAAACTGTAATATAATTTGTTTAAAAAATGCATTCTAAATTTCAATAAAATATTTTTGGAATTTAAATTCTGTTGAGTTAATTAGTAATATGAGATTATAATTGACATACATATTGTAATGATTTATTATAATTTACATTTTAGACCTGTTCCAGTTTCGATTATTGAAAATGAAACTATATCATTTGCACATAAAATAGTTGAAGAAAATGAGACAAATACGTTTAGTATTCCTGCGTAAGTGGCAATCTTTGCTTAATGTATTACTTTGTATATAATCATTTTTATCTAATAGAGATGGCCACCAATTACCATTATGGGCTAAAAACCAAGTCTCCGATGATATTCCAACTAATACATTATTAAACAATTCTCAAAATCAAATAAATGCCCCCAAAGGACAATGGGCTCAACGAGCAACTAGTTCATCAGAACCTAGTAGTATTTTGCAACTACCTATTAATAAAGATGACTCTGATTGTTTCAAAGATGATAGTTCCGTAGACAGTGGTACTGAAACTAGCAGATCAATTTATCCTGAAAGTCAAAAAGAGTCATTAATAGTACCAAAAAAGGTAACTTAATACAATTATATTAATTTTTATTATATCCACGGTAATTTATGTCTCATAACAATTAAAATACATTTATTACTCATTTCCAACAAATAAAACATATGTGTATTTACAATTTCATTGTTATTTTTTTTTAGACAATGCGTATGCCTCCTGTTTTTGTTCCGCACGATTTTGAAGAAAATACCTTAGTTCATGTAAGTGTTGTAACAATAATATTGTAATGGAATATGTTTTAGGGTTTTGGTGAAAAGCTTATGTGGTAGATATGTATTAGGTCTTTCAGATATAAATAATTTGAATTGATGATATTAAGATCTTTCATTGTACCTACCTATCAATGTGCAGAGATAACCAATTTCAAGTGTGGTGACTTATATTAGACTCATAATATTCATTTATATTTTTAATATTATTCGTTGATATATAATACTAGCTGACAAGGCAATGCTTTGCTATTGCTAGGTTTTTGTGATTGTTCAACTCCTCTTGGGTGTAACACAATGTGGAATCAATGTCTTTTTAAATGTAAATTATATTATATTTTAATTTATAGCCATACTGACTGGCGTTATCCGTGAGATTTGCTTACTATTATGTGTTCAGTGTAATATGGTGTGGTATGTGTGTAAGTTTATAATTTAACTCTCAAGTATTGAAGTTATACAATCAATTTATACAAAGTCCTAACTTAACTTCAAATCTAACGCCGATTAATAAAAAAAAACTAAACATATGTATGTACAGTAGAGTCTCTCTAATCCGGACTATCTGGATTATTGAAAATCCGGATTAAACAGAATGACGTTTTTTTTTAAACTTTCAGATAAATATGAACAAAAAACACCTTATGTATTTATACTAATTCAAAATATGTATTTTATTGCCTGGGACAAAATAAATGTAACAGTCTAAGTCTATACAAGTACACAATCACCACTAAACGAAACAATATCTTAATATGTAATCGAAACGATAATATCTTAATCATGGGTATTCCCGTATATTTGGAAACAATATCACAATACATATGTAATCGAAACGATAATATCTTAATCACGTTTATTCCCGAATATATATATTATACATGAGTATTCAAGTACAAAATATAGATTGTCCGGATTAGCAAGACTACTGTATAGCTAAAGAAGAAAAATAAGAAAAAATAAAAAATGCAATTGAAAATCAATAGATTTAAAAACAAAAATTTCCAAAAAAAAAAAAAACAATGCAAAAAATGTGTCCACCGAAACTGTGGCTTGAACTCAAGAATCATTCAAATCCCTCCATTGATTGGACCTCATATTTACCTTTTTTGCTAAAAATTGTAGCCCATCTTCTTCCCCATAGTCTATTCTATCTCTGTACCAAATTTCATCGGAATGGGATGAACGGTTTAGGAATGTATAAAGGACAAAGGCGGAAACATTTTTTTATATTGTATATATAGATAATATCAATTTTTAATAAATTTATTTTTACTTACATAAGTAATTATATTCATTAAACTAGCACTATTTTTTATTATATACAAGACAAATATTTTAGTCATGTGACAACAATTTTGATTTTGAAATACCCTTTCCAAAAAACATCAATATTAAATATTTTTTTTGTTATTATTTTATAACCATTAATACAATTATATAGTTAACATCTGAAAAGACAAATTCACAAACCATGTCAGATATTCAGCGTATTCGTAATTTAACCGACGACAGTTCATTAGGCAGCTTTAAAAATGAGGTAACTATGAGTTTTATTACAATTTTAACTATAATGAATTAATGTATGTATGAAAAATGTTTAGGAATTGGAAAGTAATGATCATGATGGTGATATTGAAGATTCTGAGGGTGAATGGATTAGTAATGCGAAAATAAAAAACACTGTTCTGTATTATCCATCCAATAACGATGATCTTGTCAAGTAAATTCTTGAATAATTTATCTTTACGGCAGTCAGTTAATAGAAAATTTTTTTATTTTATTTAGTGATTATACTATTACAAAATTAGATTCTGATGCTCTTAGAATGTCTCAAAGAAAATCAAAAGCCATTAAACAAAAAGATCGTTTATTATCATCTGGGCTTACTGATTTATCTAGTCATTCAATGTCTGGCAGCCAAGGAAGTGATGATGATGATGATGATACTTCAACTCCAAGTGTTGACCACTCAGATAAAAATTTAACAATGTTTTCAACTAGGTAATAAAACTAAAATTTTAATTTTAAATATTATTGTGTTTGATCATCAAACATCTTGTGTTTCATGTAAATATATATGTTTATGTTAGTTCTCCTCTTTTTTAGATGTATTAATGTACATCCATCAATGACACTCACTTAATAATATTTAAAATTAAAATTTTAGTATATATATGTAATTTCACTCTACCACATGTACTCATTATGCCTCTTAAGTATAAATTGTAAATTTTACCTATAATAGGAACCTACCTATAATAAATTCCAAATTAATCATATCACAATATCCATTAAGTACTTATAACGTGTTATACATTAACAACAAACCCTGATACTATCATATAGATATATGATAACACTATCATTATAATACTTTATAAGTTTCAAGTACCCACGAATAACATTATACATTCGCAACAAAATATCTAAAATATTTATTCTAGGTTTTTTAATATGTAATTTTGTCCAAATTTGAACTTAAAATGACAATACAAATAAACTGTGCTTGTGTATTTTTTAGATTTTTTGATAATAGAATTAACTACTAACATGGAATCTTGTTTTAAATTTTAAATCCTTAGCTATAAAAGTTGAACATTTTATAAATTTTTAACTACAAAATAATTATTCAATTTTAAATTGTTACATTTGTCAAATGCTTATAAAAAAAGTATCTAAAGTCATTCGTTTTTTAATTACAACAAAATATAAAGGTCGTTACATGAGTAATCGAGTGAATATCAAATGTTGTAAAAATATGAATTTCAAATGCTCATAAAAATTTAATTTGAGTTTCTTGTAGACATTTTTTTTTCGATAAAGGTAGACAAACTCATGAGGAATTTTGTATTACATTTTCAAATCTTATATTTAAAAAGAAAATTATTTATTAATTATAACTCGAAATAATTTTAAAATGTTCGTCATTTTGAGGTATTTTGTCAATATTTAAACTTTAAATGCTTATAAAAAAAAATTTTGACTAAGGATTTTTAATTTTTTTCATCTGCCTTTAAAACAATATACTAGGAGCCTTTTATTACATTTTCAAGCTTTTTTAACCAACAAATAAAATGTTATTGATATTTTTAGAAAAAAAAACTAAAAAAAAAAATGGAAACTGAAAATGTCTGTAAAGAGCTCAAAATAAGTCAAAATATTTGGAAAATGTTATGGTGTATAGAAAATGCTAATATTAACATTCAGTCAAAATTGCATGTACCTACGGTCATTTTTTTAAGAGTTGTACCAAAAACCAAAATTGATTTTCTCGAAAACAGATTTTGCGTAAAAATTCCCGCTTTTCCTAAATTTTCTTTTGTTTTTCACGACGCTTTTGAAAACTATTGGGAAATTTTTACTTTTAACCCCTCAAAGTACCAACTAGATTCACTTTCCTATCAGAAAAGATACTTTGAAGAAAATCCAAGCACTTTTACTGTCCTAAAACGTGATGACAGACACAAAAAAAAAAAAACACATCATATTAAAATCAATACATTCATCATTCCACTCAGAATCTAAAATACTATTCTCAGTTTGTTAAATTATTTATTTGTTTTAGTACTGAAAGATTAGATATGATTGAAAAACGAGAACAATTCTTAAAGAATACTTTTGAATCGCTTGGTGGAACTGAAACCGATTTTCAAGACAACCAATACCATTTCCCAAGTAAGTTTTAACTAAAATAATTTAAATAATAATTTGCTTAATTATCTAATAATTATTTGTCAAACTTGTAGGTAAGAGAAGTATATCTTCTCAGTACAAAGGAAATAATATTAGTACCACTGTACAACAGAATACAAATATTGAATCTCAAAGTAAAAGAGAAGAACTTCAGCAAAGAATTGAAGAAACTAGAAGAACTTTACAAAACGTTTGTAGAATAAATTATTTTGTAATTAAAAGATACTATTATATTTTGTTATTTTAATTTAGTTGGGAGCTCATTCCAATTTAAAAGCTAGTCAAAGTATTTGTGATTTAAGTAGAAATTATGGAAAATCTCCATCGAAATTACCAGTTCGCAACCATTTATCAGGTATGGAATACTTTTTTCTAGAATAATTTCTATATTTTCTATCTATACCTATATTATACCAATGCACTGACTATCCTAGTTTTCTTCAGCTCCAAAAAATCATACACCCTAATAATAATTAACTACACATATACACATACATGTCATGTAATTATATTACGATCTTAATTAATATATTTCATTTTATATTCATGTTTGTAGTTGATAAACAAACAAATGGAGTTGGGACTATACGCAGAGTTTGTTCTTTGATAGATTTGTCTTCGAGTACACCAATTAAAGATTGTCAACCATATAATACATTCAATGGTAGTGGTAAGCAATTTCAAACTAATTTTGACTTGATGATGTCATTTATCAAAGCTTATATATTTATATTTTGTTGATACTAGGTTCGGATAACTCAAAAACAAATTCTAAAAGTTTTTCAAAAAAAACAGTTGTCAGCAATATGCATAGAAGTAGTTCTGTCAGCGTTTTGGATCAAGTATATTAATTAAACATATTATGTGCAAATATAAATTAATTGATTAAATATAATATTTAGAGTGATTCTGAGAGCGATGCCAGTCAGTCTACCAATGGTGGGAAGAAAAGCACAACAGGTGTACGAGTTATGAGACCAACAATATCGTCACAAAATAAAATGATTATGAATAAATCAAATCTTTTACGTAGAAGAAGCACAACTTCTTCACAATCTACAAGTAAAAAAGTCCCTATAGTTGTATAAAAAAATTATTTATTAATTTTAATTAATTTTCAGCTGCTCTAAATATTATTGGACATAATGAAGATTCTAGTTCAGAAGAATTTTTCACATCTTTACATAATAATAAAACAAATCAAATCATGCATTCCAGAATAAATCCTATTGTACCTAGGTATACAACATATAATCCTTTTATTTTGTCTAAATTGAAATTTGAAATTAAATGAGTATTAAGTTATTTAATATTTATTAAATTATTTACAGTCGTAACAATTCTTCTTTAACCAGAAGTGTGAGTGAAATGAATCTAAAGAGTTCGTCAAGTAAACCATTAGAAAAGTCTAGAAATCGTAGTAGTGATTTGACTATGAAAACAAAAAGCAGTGGAACGATAGGCCATCAAAAAAACTTAAAGAGTACATTTTTAAATACTATAAGTTTTCATAAAATTATACTTATTGCATTTTTAGATTATTTATCTTTGATGGCTGATCAACTGTTTCAAACGACCGACAAAATTTTGGAACATACAAACTGTGTAAATGTCAATGATAGACGTATAACTAAAGCAGATGTTACTGATGTAATGACAAAACTAGAACAAATTGTTAACAGTGGCGGTATGTTTGCTCATCAAAATTCAAGAGTAGCACTCAACAGTACTCAACAATATTTAGATGTTCTGATTGATTTGATAAAAAAACGTTTATCACTTGAAGTCATTTAAATCACCAACTGTCAATATTTGAAACCTTAAATTCAATCGTTTGCTATACTTAATTTTTAATATCTTTAAGAAAGAATGGCTATCTAATAACTAATATTACATTTTCATACAGAATAATTTTAACAATAATTAGATTGTCAGGTGTGTAAATGCACATTCGAGGATATGCAAGAATATTTTTTGAATTTGTTAGAAATGAAACAATGGCTCTCTAAGTTTTCTTATAGTTTTTTGTTTCATTTTTTTAAATGATGGAATGATAGACCATTTTTACTTAACATTAAATAACTAACAAGAAGTTAGGTCATTTAAAAAAGTTAGTCTTTATTTTTTTTCTGAAAGATTGGAACGTTTTACCAAAGAAAAACATAAAAATGATTTTTCACATTTTATTATTGTTTGACTAGTTTTATTAGCTCGAGTTCCTGATTGTTCTTTATCTATATCAGTTGATATTTGTGATGTGCATGGGGTTCTGAATATTTTTTTTTGTAGATAACATGTTATTTTAATTGTTTACATCAGAGTCCATTAATGTAAATGGTTAGATGTCGTCCCAACTATCTACGATCAAACTGTGTATACATACATTTTTATAATACCATAGCTATTAAACCTAACCTTGTTGGAACTAATAGACTAATTTATATAATCCGTCCAAATATATATTTATATATATGTATGATAATATGTCTGTCGAAGGTTTACTAATTTATAGTGGTTTAGTAATGACACTTACATTACCCCTCACCAATCTTCATGGACACTATATGTAATGAATTATAATCCTGTAATAATTAATTTTATAGTAGAATAATTGTATTGTTGTTAAATAGTTTAGTTAAGTTGAAACTATACGTTTATTTTTAAAATTATATTCTTGTCTTGTTAACCTTTTTTTCTTATTGTTATTTAGATAATTATATTAGTTTAATCATTTTATGTTTCTTTTCAAATTCTAAACGTATTAATTCTAAATGTATTACAGACTACAGTATTACAATATATGTGCCTTTTATTACAATATATTACTAGTCATGTTAAGTAATAAGGTTTAGTTAAGATAATTAATGCAATACATGCAAGTACTTAACCTTCCATTATGTATTAGTTATTGTTAAAGGTGAAAAAATAATGAGAAGCTGTATATATTTTGTTTATTGAAATATTCCATATTTTATACAAAAATATTTAATTATTATTATAGTTATTTTTAACTAAATCCGTCCAAATATCTTTAAATAAATTTTTCAAAAAGACGCTCATTATTTTTATTGCATCTTGACTGACCTTATTAGTTATAATCAACAGTATTTATGATATTTATTTATTATTGAGAAATAAAATATTTAAACACATTCATTATTAAATTGGTTATATATGTTATTATATAAATTCTATTAATCTTTTGTTGTATTTATTTAATTTTTCTAAATAACTTTTGTTTTATATTTGTATCCCTATATTCTTTTATAATCACACATAAAATATTTCACATTTTGTTTGAGTAACTGCAGTTAACATAATTTTTATTTGATTATGTTTCTAGATTATTAATTTCAAATATGCTAACTTTTTATTTAAATTACAATGAATTATGAAATGTTAAAAACCGGTATTATTTCAATCAAATAATTTTCAAGTAGCATATTATAAGAAAATGTATTATTGTCATTTACAAAAAGCTAATAACGTTGTTAAAAAAAAAATTAGTAACGACTAACCGTGATATGAATAAAAAGACTATTAATAAAAAAAAAACATAATATGTGTTATTTCTTAGGTATTTTCTACATAATAAGTAAATGTATGTAATTATTATAATATGACAAAATGTACTAAAACTCTAAATAAAACTGTAATGCACCTCAGATTGAGTGTTTTTTGATGCCTAATAGTGACCTGTATATGTGTAATGGTCAGCCTCGATAATGAGTAAGTACTCCACAATCAGTATATTATAACTAACCTAGTAACTATATCAGGTGTCACTAAAAAGAGTTTTATACTCTAAAAACTATGTAAAACTATAACTAATAATAATTAATATAATTTTTTGTTGATATTGTTACATTGTTTTATTATTTAAGGGCTGTGCATTTATTATTTAACACACTAATTAACCACGTAATTATGTATGTCCGAAATTCAAAATAGGAAATTAATAAATATGTTGAAAGTTAGGTAATAACATGACTAAATAGATCTATATTTAGATCAATATTTTTCAATTCTAATAATAATAACTCAATCTTAATGATGTCTGATAGTTGTACTATTCCGAAAAAAAGAAAGGTATTATTATTAAACATATAACAATCAAAACTATTAATAATGATTCTCATTTTGTTTATGAGTTTTAAAAGGCTTTTGAATACATTTAAAGTGATCACAGTTATTCTAGTAACTCGTCTAACCATAGTGAACCTACAAATTTATTTGAACATTTATTAAAATCCATAAACATAATAAGTTTGCCACCAAAATGGTTTATGGACATTTACCATGAATCTAAGGATCTAAATAAATCATTTGTAGGGTTTCATCAATTGGGTCTGTGTAGAGATGATTTTTCAAGGGTTGTTAAAAAACAAATTATTTTAACTGAAGGTCTGTTTTAATTGATTTTAATTAATTAATTAAATACTAATAATTAAAAACAGATTGTAGTTTAATCATACATGTGTATGGTGTAGTAATAAATGTCGAACAAATAGGTTTATTATCTAATTTCAAACCTGAGAATGTTGAAGATTTGAAAAACATAATAATGTTATTTGACAAATTAAAAATTTGCAAAGGATCAGTATTAACTAAAATTTTGCTGAAATTAAATCAAAATTTGGACACCAGTTTGTTGAATCGAATGGCCAATGGCTACATCGTAACTGTTCACTTATACTCAACAACAGTAATAATGAAAGTTAATAATATGATATTACATATTTACAAAAAAATAATAAACTAAAAGAAACATTTCAATTTTAATAAAATATTATAGTGATGAATGTATATGGTGTAAACGGCTTTGGTATTGAATAAAAAACAAAAAAACAAAAAAAATTCAAAAGTGTACTTTTCCCCCCAATAAAATAAAAAATGTATTGAAAATACAAAAAGCTAAAGATGCAATTAAAAAAAAACCATGTGTGTTACCAGTACGCGCTCGGGAAGTTAAACTTCTTTTGAATGGCACACGTGAGTGAGTGAAAAAGAAAGAAAAAATATTAATTAATTTAAAAAATGAGAAGAAGTATCCGGAATTATTTATTATTGATAGTTTTATTATTTTTTTTATATTTTTATTCAACAGATCGATGGATAATTGTTTGTAGTATTGTTTTTATCCAGACAATAGATTTGTGAGTGAATACTAATAATAATAATAAAAATAAATAATATTAAAAAAAAATTTGGTTGCTCGTAAAAAATTACAACTCTTAAAAAAATTATGATTGTTGAACTCCTTTTGGGTGTAACTTGCTGGGATAAGTGCAGCTCAGCCACCCTGGTAAGCAATGTTCAATAATTTGATTTGATGCAAGCTTGTACCTGATCTGCTCGAATAACCAATGGCAACCAATAAATAAATGCTAATTTCTAATGTAGACTGTAACCAATGGCAACTATTAATAAATAAAAATAAAATTTCCAATTTCCATCTTGAATCTCAATGTCCCTGTTTGAGCACCTATTTAAAATGCGAATTTCGAAAAATCCTTTCTTAGCGCACGTCTACATCATAATAGCTATCTGTATGCCAAATTTCAGCCAGATCCGTCCAATGGTTTGAGCTGTGCGTTGATAGCAGTCAATCAGCTTACTGTTTTATATATACAGATATATATATATATTATAATATATAATAAAACAACATTACCATGACAATATTTATTTATTTACGGACATGTACGCTTTCGCGTTCGTACGGCCGCCCGTTCGTACGCGCCGCCCGTTCGTACACGCCGCCCGTTCGCTTTTTTTTTTTCCTCACTACCGTGCGTAAAGAAGTATAACTTCAAAATTACCTTAGTGCAACTATTAGAATAAATAAACTATATGACAGATTAAATAACATAAGAGTACAAATGAAAAAAAGTATCAGATGCTAATTTTAGTCAAATTTTAGAAAATATTAATGTTACTTAATGCCAACTTAATCTAATTAATAAAATATTTAAAGCTTCTAAACTTACAAATCCAAAAAAACAGAAGATATACTGAAAGTTGGATATACTTTGCTTGCTATTTCAAATAAGGTAGGATAAGTTATATATTAAAAATATTGGTTTGTAATTTTGTATAGGTATTGAAAAGGTGTTCATTTCATTTATATCACCAGATGGGTATAACTTTTTACGTGAACAAGATATCCTTTCATTGCCTTGCATTAGCACTATAAGAAAATACTTGCTAGTCTTAAAAATTGGGTGTGGCTTCGATCCCAATTTTTTCAAACTATTTAAAAAAAAAAATGTTGAGTAAAAATAAGTTTCAGAAAAAAGGCATACCTACTTCTACTGTATGAAATAAGTTTGAGAGAAAGTATTATAGTAAATAGTAGAACACTACCTTATACTGGGCTAGAAGATTGTGGTGAAGAAATAGAATCAAAACAAAAAAGCAACTTGAAAGCTAATAATGCATTTTATGCATTAGTTTTAATGTCGCAAAGTTTTGGTGAAAATGTAGCACAACCTATTGCTGTTTTTACTTCACATGGTCCTGTAAAAGGTAATATAGATAAACACTTTATTATTTGATTTATAAAGATAATTGTTGTATAGCTTTTATGATACATACAGGGGTTAAAGTGGTCAAAAAATTCGAGAGGGGACTAGTGTCTCCATATAGTTTTAAGCGTTCCATATATAATTGTATGTATAATGTCTAATGTATAAAATCCTAATTTGTTAAAGGGGATACTTTTTAACCGCCGTCAGAGGTAGGGGGCTGAGTCCTCCTGCACCCCCCCCCCACTTTAACCCCAGGAAATTAAT